CACCAATAAATTTGGTGTTTCTGTTCTGATGAAAACAGTCTCTATCAGGTGGAAGTGTTAAATTTTATTTAATTTCATTATAAAAATTTCATTTTGAATACCTACTTACATTAAAAAAAAAAGTGTCTCCGATATTGGTAGTACACAACTTGATGACGTCATACGCGTCAAATTATATTTTCGGACTTTTCGTCATTTTAATATAAATTGTTAATGTAGTATTTTATTATGAGTTAGACTTATCAAAATTATATTTACTATACACAACTAGGCCTATTAATAATTGAATAAATTATTAGGCATAGGCCTACTGAAAACTTGAATTACAACCACCATGTAGTAGTAGCAAAATATTTTTTTTTATTATTAGATTTTAACATTTGTGTAAGCCAAGGCCCTACATGTACAACAATTTCATACCAATACCATTGTCTAAAATAGTGAAAATGTTATAATATAGTTTATATAGGCCCTCTACAAAGGTATTCAGCTGCTTCTCATAGTTAGGCCTATAGATTATCAATATTATTAACCTTGCTTGAACACATTATAGTAAGTTATACAAATTCATCAGTTAAGCTAGTGATACTAATTAATGGAACCATTATCTCTCACTATGATTATTTATTCATTCTAAATATTTAATATGTAATTTGGTGTCTAATACATATATTTATTTATTGACTGCTTACTTCCAATTACTGTTGTTGCGCTGTGAATTGCGCAAGTCTAGAGAAAAAACTTCAGCTTAAGCTTATTTTATCCAAACATGTATATGAAGGCTTACTCATTGCAAGTTGTTTTTTTCTAGACATGTATAGTATTCATGTGGTAAGTGCAAACATGGTGTTACTCTGACAGATCCACCAGTATAATTTCTTATACAAGACCTGGTTTCAAATTAAAACAAAAGATAAAAATAAAAAGAACCAAAATGGTTTGCTTTCCAAAAAATATTTATTTATTAGATTTAGATGCAATTATATAAATTTCAATTATCAATGAAAAGTACAAAGTAATAATGGGTTTAAGTTTAAGGTGTGAGTACAACAAAGTGATTTATATAACTATTATAACATGTTTTAGTTGATGCAAATTAAAAAATGATCAGGTTGAATGAAAGTCATCAGTCCAGAAAAGATACAAAAATCTGCAAAGAAAAAAAAAGTTATTTGATTTGTTTACACTATACTGAGTATCAAATTAGAATACCATAAGTAAAATATAAAAAAAAAGATTAAAAACATAATACCATGTCATTACATACCAACCTTTATTTTTTAACAAAAAATTTAGCGCACTTTTGAAAAAATAGAAATTATATACATATTGTAAAGACATAAATATTGCAATCATTGCATGTAACTGTAAACATAAAAATATATAACAAAGGAACAAAGCAAATTTAAAATGAAACATTAATTATTTTTTAAAGCTCAAATTTTTAATAATCATGCTGTCCAAGGATTAACAGCATTGACAAAGAGGGTTTCCACTTCTGTCAACACCACGAAATAGGGGATGGTTTACTGAGACATTCGATCCAGACAACACATCATAGATGGAATTTTCAGTATCTCTGCGTTTATAGCTTCCAACTTTTTCTTCATCTGCTTTATTCGAGATTGAATGCCTGTGTCTATTTTGTGCTGTAACTGGTTTGTGTCGATGACCCTGTCAAACTCCTCAATCAGTTTGAGATTCTCTGCATGAACAATGTCATTCTTTACTGAGATCTTGACCCTTTCTCCTCGTAAAGCATCATCTATCTCCTTCAATACTGTCATTGTCAGCAAATCCATCTCCCATTTAATACTATCAATCTTGGTTCTCAATTCTCTTGCTGAAGATGTCCAGTTGTTCTTTGAAACCTAACCTGCAATTTAGCATATTTTATGTTTGAAATCATCAATAACTTACCCTTTCATGCTGTTTCTGCACCAGCCAATACCTGCTTTGACATCTGTTGTTTTTTTTTCTTTTATATAAAATACTTCCTCTTCCAACACTGGATCTGTGTCTGCTTTCTCTGCAATGATTTAGTATCTTTTCTTAGTTTACTTATTGTAGAAAAATATGAATTATAAAGGAAGTTCTGTGCAACTGTATTTTATAGCTGTAAGTTGATGAATCAAGTCATGACTTAGTATACTAAAATAAACAATTAGTGTTAGAAAAAAGTCTGTTACATTAGTAGTCTATTACAAATTACTTACTTAATCCTCATCACTCCCTGTGGAGTATAGGGCAGCAACAAATCCCTGCCATTCCACTCTGTCCTGGGCGAGCCACTTTAGTTCATGCCAGGTCTTGCCAGCAGCTTGCACTTCTTCTTCCATCTCTCTCCTCCATGTTCCCAGTGGTCTTCCCCTCTTTCGTTTTCCAGTGCCATGTTGGGGGAGTCATCTTTTGCTCATGCGTAGGACATGGCCCAGCCATCTCCATCTCCTCATTCGAACTTCTGAAAATGCATTTGGAAAATTTAGATATTGATATCTAGGCATAAAGTTTATTTTAAAATAAATAGACTAGGCCTACTAGGTTTATTTCACACACAAAAAAACCATTTGTTTTTAAAATTGTGAGTCTAGTAAAAAGTTACTATTGTTTAGAGTTTAGAGTAGAAGTAAGTTAGAACTAGATCTACATTTAATTACTTAACACTAAATAGGTAGATCTATAATTAAAAGTAGTCTATAATTAATAATTAGGTAAATAATTATGATCACTTAAAGTACTGTCACTTATCAGAAAGATCTAACCGTGATTCCGATGGCTGAATGATTTCTCACTCAGATTTCTATCAAAGAGCTGCAAGACCACAGACTGAAAAAAAAAAGTAGATTAGAGATTCTAGAGTCTATATCTAGAAAATTAGATTAATTTTTTAATAGAGATCTAGATCTAGATCTTCTAAAATAATTTAGATTAGGCTTATGCCTTATACACTTAATTGTACTATACTATAGAATATGTATAGAATAAATCTACATCATCTAGAATCTAGATCTATTATTAAATCTAGAGATTCTAGGTTTCATAAATTGATCTAGAATCTAGATTCTTGATCTAGATCTAGTGAGTGATAGTGATCTAGCCTCTCCTAGTGATCTAGTCTAGAGTCTAGCTTGACGATCATCTGGATCTAATCTAGATTCTAGAACTAGATCTAGATCTAGATCTAATTCTAAGAATCTAGACTAGACTCTAGACTAGAATGATAGAATCTCTAGATCTAGATCTGGATTTAGATTTCTAGATAATATAATCTGGATCTAGACTAGAATTTCTAGAAATTCTAGGTCTAGTCTAGCTAGATCTAAATCTAGATCTAGATCTAAATCTACCTAATGACACTATTAAACCTTATTACTTTTTTTCGTAAAATAGTTTTTTTTAATAATGCTATTTTTAAAAAACTTATTAAATATACAATATTTTTAAAATCTTTTTAAAATAATGGCGGCTACAAAGCTATCGATTCAGACTTTGCAGGTACATTTAAACGACTTGTTGGTGGGAAATTAGCCGTTTTCAGACTTAATTTAAAGAAAATTTGCAAAACTCTGTCGAACTACCAAAATTTTAAAAAGAACTGGAATCTAATTCAAATAGAAAAAAAGTGATGAAATTACCTCTATTTTTGACAGCAATATTCCGAAGAAAGAAAAACTAAATTAATAAATATCGTCCGCCAAAAAATTTTCCAATATGTCAAGTAAACCCGAAAGGCAGAGAGCGTCAACGAAATGCCGGTTGGAACAAGCCGTTAGTCTATTTTTAGACTCACGCGCAGCGGTGACGGAAGCCTGGGACAAAAAGCGAAAAGGGAAGTCAGCGCCATTTCCAAAATGGTTGCCCTTAGAAATTACGATGCCGTAATACACGCTAATAATAAGTATAATTTATAATTACTAGGCCTAACAACTAGGCTATCCATATCACTCAGCCATAGGCCATATCATAATAAAAAAGAAATCAGTTGAGTTAGGCCTATTCTTCTACTGACTACTTACTTAATACTTAGTCTATCTCTAGTAAAGTACTAAAACTAAACAGAGACTGAACCTGCCCATACAACTATTAAGAAGACAAATGACAATATTTCAGGAAAATCCATTTTTGACAGTGTAGGAAAAATAGGCTTACTCCATAATTTTTGTATATAGGCCCTATACATATGACAAAGGCCTATACCCTATAGGCCAACTGTTCATTTTAGTTTGACATAGTGGCCTGATGATAAATAACTAATTTTAATTAGTTTCATTTTCAAGCCTGATCTTTTTCTTAAATAAAGATGTTTCTACTTACTTTAGGTGTAGACAGTAGAGTAAATAAAACATCTATGTAATTGCTACAGAGCGGTTTGTTCATTGATCTCAGTTCCATTTATTAGTGTCACATTCTTTTAATATTATATATTTTATTGGTCTTTATCATTTCTTTACAACACTTGGGCTACTAATAGCCAAATATATATTTAAATTTTCACTTTAATCAACAGAAATGTCTGATATGGAGAACACTGACAAGAAGCGTCTATTTGAAGCAACTGAATCTGAAACAGACTTTAACAAAAGTAAAAAGTGAGTTATTTTTAACATTACCTAGAATTTTTGTTTTGTTTAGTAACTTAAAAAACTATAATAATTGTGTATTTAATTAAATGTTTTAAATTCATGCAGCTGTTTTTTTTTATTTAAAAAAAAAAACCCCAATCTTTTTCAGGCTGAAGCTTGACAAAGAACTGAGGGATAAAACTTCTGAAGAAGATAAAATAACTACTGGAATGGAAAAAGAAAAGCCTTTAGATGATTCTGAAATTAAACATGATAAAGATGATGCCATGAAAGATGTTTTAAATGTATCTATAAAAGAAACAAAAAATGCATTATCTGTCCCTGAAATTACTAAAGATTCTGTTGATGAAAAAAGTCCTGGTAGTAAAGAAGTTTGTGAAAATAAAGAAGAAGAACCTGGAGTCCTTGAAATATCTACTAAGAAAGTTTCAAAACTGGCTTCACACTTTTAACCTGAATCAAACATGTGAACTCTTTAAAGTAAGAAATAATCCATTTGGTCAATCATTAGATTATACTTTTTATTTTCAGCATTTTGAGATTTAACTGTTACGAATCACTTGATATCAATTAAGAAAAATAATGAATACTAATGATGACCATTATTATATCACAGAGAAATGTTAAAAGATTGAGCTGGCCTCTACATTGATATCCTTTTAAGAAATAAAATAGTAATGCTAGATTGCTTACCTGTCCAGCCATCAAATAATGACAAACTTGAAGTACTAAGAAAAACACCTTCAAATATTCTTTGTGTAGAGGGCTGCCTGAGAAGGATTCTATTAACTGACCAGCTTGGGTCATTGCATCATTCACACATGGTATATTTTTACTTATTAGTCCAATCTAGAAAAAAATAATACAGCTCAATACACAACTTACAACTTTTTAATTATTACAATGTATAACTAATAACATATATCATTGAAATGAAAAGTGTACATTGCATACATTTAATGCCCATTTTGGGAATTTGAAGTTAATGGTACCTCCTTCATACATCGGGAATACCCAATCCAAAATAAAGTCAGTTTAATAAAATTCACGAAAAAGTAAAAATCTTTTAGGATGGTGGTTTGATTAAAAAAAAGGGGTTTTAAAATAAATGCAATGGCAAATTTAGAATTTCTCGTACCATGCCTCTGCTCAACATAAACAGGAGTCGAGTATACTCCGATCTGACATTAAGAGCATAATCAGCACCTATCCCCATTATGTTCATAGCTGCTACCCAATCTTTTTCTGCTGTGTGAAGTTGCTGAGGAAAGATAGTAAGGGAAAAATAAATTCAACATCTATTGTTAATAGTTAATCTATGGATTAATATTTTAGACTTCGAAAATAAGTAAAAAAAAATTCTGTAGAACTTACTGCAAGCTGAAATAACAAACGGCAATGCCAGTATGGTGATTGCTGAGACAAATCAATACCTTTGAGTAGTATTGGTTTTGCATTGTGAGACATGTTCTGAAAAATTGTACAAATTAAATGCAAATGACAGTAATAGTTAAAACAATTTTAAAAATTCAATGTGATGTTTTCATCAATCTCATTAGATCAACTGTCCGTCTGATTCTACTTAAATTATTTACAGGCAAATAATTATAAAAATGCTAATGTAATATTGCTAAACCATTTCAAGTACTAAAACAGAAACTGACTAGAGATTTCATATTCTTTTACCTGTTTTTCTGTATAAAATTGGGCAAGTACACTAGCTGATTCAAATCGAACATCGTCTATATGAGGAATCTTTGCATGTGTTAAAGAAAAATTAAGCATAAAAAAACAGCATCATTTAGACTTATGTATCAATTCTTAATAATGTCAATTATATTGAATCTGTATTCTTCAAAGAAATAAAAAACTTGAGTTTTATCAATAGCTTTTGTGTTCAGCAAATATTTTTGCATAGAACAAAGGATACTGTTGATGAAATCGTCCACTGAAATTAAAAAAATATTGATTAAGAAATAACCATAAATAGTATTCAAAATGATTCAATTACCCTTATATAAGCACATAAAAATCTATAAACTTAATTTTTTTTAAAGTAATAAAAGTAATTATTAATTTTTTCTGAGTATGTTAATTTATAACTACTGGTTATACCGTTTTTTTTAAAAAGAAGCACAACCTACAGGATCAACTTAATGAGAAAAACCTGCTTTTAAATTGCTATATCTGAAGCTATTACTTTGTAATGAAAGAGGCTTGTTTAAAAAAAAAATCCTCACTAAGAGGTGAATATAGAAATACATGTTTGGTAAGGCCGACATTCAATAACAATTACTTTTTAAATTTAAAAAAAGCCTTATGGGTTAATTTATGTAGATAGTGAACTCAGTATCAGACGCTAGTAAAACAAATTTCAATACTCTGTTTTAATGATAGTATATTATAAAAGTGTTCATGAGTTAAACAATATTTCATCTCTCCCTTAAGATTATTCTCTGGTCTGACTGACTCTGTATAAATATGTAATGTATAACAATAAGTATAAATTTATAATGCATAATGGAATAGCCTTCTTAAATCATCCTCTTCATAATTTTACCCAATCAAGATAGATAGCTCCAGATCTATCTATTCTATTTCTATATCTAACTCTACTACTCTAGCCTACTCATTTCATGACAGTAGATTATAGAATCTCAGAAATACAGAGTATGGGAGTGCTGACATAAAAACAAATAAACAATTACAATGCATACACCTGCAGACCATTGGCCGGATGAACACATTGATTGTCAGACACTGGTATAAGCAATCATCGGGAAGTTTTAATGCTGAACCACAACTTTTGTCATTATGTTCATTTATAAACACTTCCTTATGATTTCGTTTTCAGAAAATGTGTCTGTTTGCAAACAGTGCTTTACTGGAATCTAGGCCTAATCTAGACTAGATCTAGATCTAGATCTCCAACAATTTTAAAATTTTACATTTTTTTTTTTAGTTTAGAAAATTTCTAAATATTCAAATTCAAAGATTAAGTTTTTAGTAGTGTTGTGAAGTGCAGAATTATATCAGGAAATCTAGATCTATACTCCTGCCGCTTCGCATAAAATTGAATAAGATAGCTTATTTAACAATAAATGAATATTAGATCTAATTCTAAGGTCATAACTGTACACAAACAGAACAAACATAAAAATTTACCGCTTGTTCTAAATGAGTTCTTGCGATGTCTGAGTTTTTTGCGTGAGTCAAGAGAATATTTCCTAGCTGCAGATGAGTACGAGCTTCTATGTGAGGTGGAGGATTAAATTTGAAAATAGACTGTAAGCAATGAATGCATAATCTGATATTTGGAGGATTTGATGTTCTAAAATGTTCTGCGAGTCCCAAAAGCGAGACGTACCATGGCTGTTCGCCTGCGGCAGCAGTAGACGCCATCTTTTTTGTTGTGTATAAATGGACGATACTTGTATCGATAGAGATGTATTGTAGCAGTATTTGTCGATACGATTACTCGATACGCTGTTTTATTTATTTTTATTTGAAGAGTCTATAGAAGAGTATTTAATAAACAGTTTGCATTTCATTTCCAATCATGTATTTTTTATGTTAAATAAATATACTGGAATAAAAACTAGTCGAAAGGATGAGTAGGCCTATACCTATAGGGCTTGTAAGTCTCTTTGCTACTCTTACTTAAAATTTGAAATCTCGTTAGCCAGGGTCTGGTGAATTATCAAAGTATAATTATCAGTTTTTACGATTTTAAATAACCTAACAATAGCGTAAGTAACTTTATTTCTTTTTTTACCGATTTAATAAACATATTCTTAATTGGTTTGAAAAATACTAGCTGGCTAGTATGATAAGAAGTTGGTGACCTACTTACAAGCCCTATAATGTCTTTAGAGGCGGAACTATCGTGCAGCCAAACCACACAGGGTGGGGGAGGGTCGGAGGGAAGGCCATGGACCTTCTAATCCGACAATAAATTAAATTTATTTGTGCTTCAAAAAATAAAGCGATAGCTGTAGTCAGTTAATTAATATAAGGGGTCATCCATTTATGACGCCCACATAGAGGGAGGGATCGGGAGGTTGGGGGGGGGGGGAATCGACTTTTGAGAACGCGTGTGGACTGGGGGCGGGAGGGGGGTTCGAGCCCTCGTGGAAAAGTCCACATATTGAATTTATATCGAAGTGCTTTCAATTTATAACAAACAAAACTTCTATCCCGCATTTAAAAAGTGAAATTAAGATGACAGTGCAGTGTGTAAACAAAGCACTGAATTTATACCTACACTGGGGGGGGGGGGGGCGGTCATCCATACCATGCAACGTACTTATTTTTAACGACTTTTACCTTCCCTCCTTCCCCAACGTCACTATTCTTCACTAAAAACCAAGACCCAGAACCTAAAATGAGGTCACACCTCAGCCTACCACTTCTCTCCTAACAGGGTTTTTTTTTTCCTAAAATATTTAGTGAGCATGGTCAATGTTGGGTGGAACTAGATTGATTTTTATTGAAATTATAAAGAAAAATACCTATGTACAGCAAAGTGTTAAATTCTGTTTCTAACATTATTGCATAGCTATTTGTTACACTTTCTGAAATCCTCCTCCAGCCCATCCGGAGTTAAAGTAATTTATGGACGAACTCTAATAAAAATAATAGTACCACTTTGGAAAGCGAGCGATTAAGTAAACAGAAATGGGAGCCATGAACACGAGTAGGTCTTGCGACTTATTAATCTTATAGGTCTAAATGCTAGTATTAAACATTAAAATACATGCAACGGGTACAGAGAATGCTACTGTTAGCACCCCCCCCCCCCCCCCACATGCCAATCAAGTAGGTTGATAATGGGGAAAATCCTTGAGAAAAAAATAGTTTTAATATTAGGCCTACTAATAAACATCGAAAATATTCAATCTATATGAAAATATCAAAGCCGTATATCAATACATAGGTACACAACACATGTTATTGAAATAGTAAATTGGTATGGACGTCATAAATGGATGACCCCTAATTGGCAAGTGATTCAGTGAAATAGCGAGCCATCCATTAGTAACGTGACACTTTTTGCCGATCCCCCCCCCCCCAAAAAAAAAACGCACATCGTCACACATAGCCCCCCTCCCCCCAAATGACGTTACACCTCAGCCTACCACCTCCACTTGCAGTTTCTTTTTTTAAACGTCGATTTCTTTCTACTGGTTTCTGTGAATTTTTCGCTTCTGTGAACTGTTTCTTTCAGAGTGAAAAAAAGTTTTGTACCGGTCCCTGGCAATTCTGCAGAAACGAAGTTTTTAATACAAGCCCTTTCTCAGATTAAAAACAAGTTAATAAAAAGTCTAGTGACAATTTAAGCGCAATTTCCTTATGTTAATAAGTAAATCATCCTATAAATATAAACTCCTACACGATGCTCAGTTTAAACCACACGAGCAGAGCTAGTTCCCGCCCCTCGCGAGATCTGCGCGAGTCTGGCCAATGGCAGCGTGTGTAGACGTTACCTCTCACTAGCGACTGCCTCAGCCGGTGTGCTATATTTGTATATTCTTAGTAATCTTAGCCAATACAAATTAGATCTAGAAGAAATTAATTTTTTGTGACCGAACGAAAGGATATTTTTGAAAACTTTCTTCGGCAATATTGTTCTAAATTATGGCAGGAATCGATTGGTAAATGTTTCAAGTCGCTAAGTTGTCTGGTTGCCGAGATATGGGCCAAAAACTGCATTTTTTCGAGGTTTTTTGGCTTTTCCGGGAAATCCAGGAAGGAATTCCGGGATTTTTTTTGGCCCACAATCATCCTCTGAACTTGCTAACATATTTGCTTTTGGAACTAGTCCTCGATATTGCTTCGTTGAGGAGGAGATACGACTTAAAGCTGCGGACATCCATTCCCAGAAATGTCGAGTTAATAATCGCAATTCTCCAGAATGGAAATTGCGCTAAAAAAACAACCACACCATGAAGACCTTGTTTGATTTAAGGATAATATTAAATGTGTTTCGTTTTTTATTCGTACATCCTAAGTAGGACTCATTTTAAAATTGTATTTTATTTGTTTTGAGGATTTGACTTTAAAAAAAAGATAATGTACGTTTGTCCTTGTCGTAGTCTGGACATCTTGTGACAGTCACAAGAAATGGGCGCATAACCCTCCTAGTCCTAACCATGGCTTATTTCGATTCATTTAAGTAGGACTGCTTTCACTTTACAATTAAAGATTCTTATTTTAGTTTTGTTAGAGATGTGTGAAGATTTCCATGTTGCTCTTAGTCTAAGATTAGCAAATGCCTGTCGGGCTACGTTATTCGTCGTTTGATATTTTCGTCTGTTGCTCCCGACACGTTGACCCATAAGATATACGAAGTTATCTAGTTGTCTATGTTTTGGTTCTCTAATTCTGCTTCACGGTATTGCATATAGTTAATTTTTTATTTAAAAATAAAGTTTATTTTATGTCTCACGATATTTTCACTCTTGCTCAAAGCTATGACTTTCTCCAGTGTGTCTTAGAGTCTGTGGCAGAACATGGCTACATCTTCAGCAAATCCCAAGATCTCGTTTCTTAAAATTTTCGGGCGGGGGGGGGGGGGCGGTAGACTTTCTTTGGGGGGGGGGGCGGACACTGTTAAAAGTATATATTTTCTATATAAATTTCATTTCGTTCGGAATGGGTGGGGGGGGGGGGGGGCTGGCTGAGTCGTCCCCCCCCCCCCGAAGAGATGCCTGGAAGAAACTCTGAATGGTAACTGTTAATGTAACATAAACTTCTGCATGCAGACTTTTTAAAAGTAAAGTCCTTAGCGTCAGTGTATGGCAGCGAATGCTAGAAAGTAATAGTACAGCTTTGACCAAACCGTAACAACGTTACTATGGTCCCGCTTCATGTAGGGACCAACCAATTCAGAGGCGTAGCGATGGGGGGGGGGGGGCAAGGGGGGTACATATGTCCACGGGCGCCGACCTTAGGGGGCGCCAAAATGGGTAAAAAACGAAATTAAAATGTCATTTTAGCTGCATTTTTGCATTATAAATAGTTTAAGGGGGGGGGGGGTGCAAATTGAAAGTTTGTGTTTGGGGGGGGGGGGGGGGATGCAAATCGAAAGTATGAGGGGGGGGGGTGCAAAATTGAAAATTTGCTCCCGAGGGGGGCGACAAATTGAAAGTTTGTCCCCGGGCGCCGGGAAGGGTCGCTACACCTCTGAACCAATTACGTTTGTTTCCAAAAGTAACATATTAGGGTTCGTCCTTGGGGAATTTTCGTAAATATAACCTACATGACGAGGGGGAGAGAGTTCGGAAAGTGTGACGTCACTCTTTTGCACTTTTTAAAAAGTAATGTTAGAAACTGAATTTTATCCATTATTCTGCATATTTAAAAGACTGTTCTTGTTAATTGACAAAATAGGCTAATTGATTAAAGGCTAGATGTTGACCGCGCTCAGTAAGTATTTTAGACAAAAATCAACAATTAAAAAAAAACATCTGGGTGGGGGCAGCCTTTTAAAGGGGGAAGTAGCTTTTTGTGACTATGTGTGATAATTTGAAGAAGGAGGGGGGGGGGGGGGGTGTGTGAAATCGTTTAAAAAGCGTGACTACGTTTATATTCAATATGACTTAAATAGCCTTCTATGGTAGCGCTTCAACACGGCGAATGTGATTTTTACACGCTTTTATTTACTTGCTTCCTGTCTGTCGTCAGTCTGTCGTCATGGATCTAAACGGGCGAGAGATATTTCGGGCACTTCTAACTGACAGATTCGTTTTAAGGTCAAGACTTGAAGACAATGCAATATGACATTAAAGTAGTCATGCAACTCTATTGTATTAAAAAAAATAAAAAAATACTGAAAAAAATTGCATCAAAACGTTTTAATAACAAGTTTTTATGTAATAATGCACTAAAAAGGAGAAAGTAAATGATTTTCTTTAAATATATAACACATATTAGTAAATCGTGCGGCGTCAAAACGGCCAATGACAAAACGGCCCCGTCAAAACGACCCCGACAAATCGGCCCCGACATAAGAGCCCCGTCAAATTGACCCCGTCTAAATGGCCAGCGACATATGGACCCCGTCATAAAGGCTCCCGATAAATAGGCTCCCGTCATATAGGCTCACGTTATATAGGCTCTCGACAAAAGGGCTCCAGTCAATAAGGCTCCCGACATACGTTGTATTACTTAAGAGTGTTGGATAAGCTAACTCTAAAGAATATTGATTTAGGGGTCCCACTGGCAGGTGTCATATTCAATGAGACCGCTTTGACGGGAGACTTAGTCTCTACAGAAACGGTATTGTCAGTGGTCCTTTTGTCTGGAGCCAAATTGACAGGAGCCTTTTTGTCATGAGCCAAAATGACGCTAGCCTATTTGTCGGGAGTCGTAATGATGGGGGCCGTTTTGTGGAAAAAACTAAATGACGGGAGCCTATATGTCGGGAGCCAAAATG